TCTGTACCTGTGTACATCCTCTGGTCTAGCCAGATTTGCAAGGTAGAATTCATATAATGATAGTGGCGGTGGGGAGGAAGCATTTAAGAACTAGAGGAAAGTTGTATGTTTCATCGTTGCTACACTGTACCCTGACTGTCTTATCTCCTCCACAGGACCCTTCAGTAAGGGGGTGACCAGTTACCTACATATGGGCTTTGGGATAAAGCACTTTCTTATACACATATGAGTGTTTCTTTTGTTTCTCTAGTCAACCTGGACTAACACAGTAGCATTCTTACCTGCTCATAGATCTCGATAGCTTTCTGATACTGCTCAAGTTGAGCAGCATAAGCTGCTACTTTCAGCAGACACTTGTTTGCAGAACTGAAATGAAGAAAAGAGAATAAAAAACAACTCAATGGAAAAGTAAATGAGCACGAACCCCAATAGTCCTTCATTTGGTAAAAATCATAATGTACATTAGGGAGAGCATAATCAAGATTTGTCTCATACATGATTCAGTTATACTAAGAAATAATACTTGCCTATTGGATTCTTCCCCTTTGTAATAATCAGCAGATTGTTCATAATGTGCAATGGCCTGAAAACACACACATTTTATTCATATTATTTGTTTGAAGAGCTGTATTTAAAAACTACATTTGCATAGTTGCTTTTCTAATATATAATGTATCCCAATAGCAACAGGTCCACAACTTGAGCGACTTTATTTAGGATATGTAATAAAGCATACACTTTTAGAAAGGCTACTGGTGGCAGAATGCTGCTCAGCTGTACTTTATTCCTCAATCTCCACTGGAGCTCGAAATAGCTATGTGACTACTTTGTTTCCCACTCCCCCACTCCCCAAAAGTTAGACATGCTATGGTCTACTTCCAGGTCTGGTTCATACATCTGCTTTGTGTCCTTCTCCAGATCTTATACCAGTTCCATGAGCTGGGATTATAATGACAAATTCTAGAGTGACACTTAGCCAAAAAAACCCCAAAAAAACAACCTCACTGCTATTGAATTGATTCTGACTCATAGCGACCCTGTAGGACAGAATAGAATTGCCCCTGTGGGTTTCCAATCTCTATGAGACCAGAAATCTATCTTTTTTTTCTCATGGAGTGGCTGGTGGTTTTGAACTGCTAATCTTAGCCCAATGTCTAACCCACTAGGCGACAAGGGTTCTTAGAAGCTATAATTTGAACATGACAAACTTTTGTCAGTCTGGTTCCTAAACAACTACAAATGACAGAATGCACAATGAGGGCTTCAAAAGTTTGCTGA